GCTTAATGAGTCGCCAAACAGAAAAGAAAGAGGTATCACACTAAAAAAAACACTTTTGAGGTTTATATGGGAATCAATTAGTACAGTTTTGAGTGTTCTGTTTTCCAAATCATTTGGCAGGTGGTACGAGTAAGAGACGTTGGTATTTGAAGACGAAAAGTGCTAAGTTTATCGAATATCTAGACGATAAACAGAACCCGTGTTTTCCGGTTGATGTGAATCAGAAGAGAACGGTAAGAAAAAACAGAAATGTGACACTTTTTTCCAATGACTAAATGGTTTGTGATTTGTTATACGTTTATGTTAAAACTCATCATAGTCTATCCTTGTTTTCTCATGTTGCAGCGCATACCCGCGGTACTTATAAAGGATTACAACTTGAAATTCCCTAAATCGGTTATTGTGCGTGATAAGATTAACAAATTGAAGAGGGAGATCGCAGTTTGGAAGAACCGATCGGTGTTTCTAAACAGAGTCGGCAGCATCATGAGAAGAAACAATGTGAAGCCAGGTGATAAAGTGGTATTCGAACTAAAGATGGTCGATGGTTATCGCGGGCTGGTTCGCGAAATCAAGGTCCACATTATCAAAGTCTGATCATAAAGTTCACATGGGGATTCATTCTAATTGGGAGATATTATCTGAAACTTTATGTTATTTATATGTCGCTGTGTTAATCATTTTAGTTTTTCTTCTGTTGCGAGTTGCATCCTGCATTTCCTGATACCATTTGAAGACTGTTTGAACTGGTTTCGTAGGTGCAATTTGTCCAGTGCTGGGCAAAAATCAAGGGCAAAGTATTACAGACATTCATATGATAAGATCTGCTCACTGGCTCATTGTCACTTGTACTTTACAAAATGCTTGCTATATTGGTTGTTAAACTTCATTATATGACAGACTTGTGGTACAACTAGACTCGAGTAAAGATTCAATAATAGAAGATTTCTGATTTCACCCAAGAATCAAATCCAGACAATATCATTGTTACATATGAACTTGGTTATGATATGACAACCACTTAGCTAACACATACAAGAAAGTAGCTTTACTAGACTAATTGATTATCTACAATGCAAGCAAAGTGCACAAATACTAATTGATTCCTCTCTTGGGATCTTGTTCCAAGATTCGCCTACTCCTTCAATCGCTCTCAAGGTACCTAACTCTCCTTATCATGACCTTTTCATTTGGTATCTTTACTTTGTGTGCAGTTGATCAAGGACTCGAAGCTGTCTAGAGATTTCGTTCCAAAGATTAAAGTCGTAGACTATGCTCCACTAATCCAAAGCTTAAGCCTCCGAAGATTGCCTGATTTAGCTCATGAGGTCTTTATCCAATTGAAATCAGACAACTTGCTGCCTAACTACACAACCCTTTCCGCTCTTATCCTCTGCTTTGCTCAAAATGGGTCTGTTCAACGAGCACGTACGATTTGGGACGAGATTTTATACAGCTCTTTCGTGCCTGATCTCATTCTTATCTCAAAGCTCGTGTCTGCTTATGAGCAGATTGGTTGTTTTAGTGAAGTTGCCAAAATCACTAAGGACGTAAGTGCTAGGCATTCTAAGCTGCTTCCTATTGTATGTTCACTTGCTATTTGCTGTTTTGGGAAGAATGGTCAGTTGCAATTGATGGAGGATACTATAGAGTTAATTGATACAAGATTCTGCCACTGCTAATGCAATTGTTAAATGAATCGGATAATATGAATATCATATATATGATTTCGGATATTCAAAATTATTATCAAACACGTAAAGACTTTATCATATTTGAATACTTTATGTAATTACAAATAATTTTGGATAATTTATAGATATTTTTGTTTGAAAATATTAAAACAATTATTGTAATTTTAGAAATTTTAGATAATTTAGGTAGTTTTATTACTTTTTAAAACAAATTTCTTGTTCATGTATTTTAAGTTTATTTTTTTGGTATGGTTCGATTCGATATTTTTGTAATTGTTTGTACTAGTATAATTTAAAGAAAACTATACAAATGTTTTTTTTAACAGAAAATTCAACTTATTGAAACAAAATTTTGGATTAATTTATTCTATTTGTAAGATAAATTCATCTTTAATTTTTTTTGAATCGTAACTTTTCTCGTTGAATTATGTTGTTATTTTATGTTTGATAGAATTATGAAATATAAATGTAAAATATAATATTTTGTTAGTTTATTTAACTAAAAAAATTATTTAACTAACTTTTATAGGTTTATATAAATATTAATTTAAAAAAAAAATATCAGCTAGATTCAGCTGTTACCATTTACATTTTAAGATATTTTGTAAGATTCTGCAAGAAATCACTAAAATTCAGCCACATTCTGCAATTCAGCAAAATTCAGCCAGATTCCGCTGTTACCATTTAGACTATCGAAGGCCTTAGTCTATATGTGTGACAATGGTGGTTTCAGACCCATATTTGATGAAAATTTATCATGACTTTTCTGCAATTTGCCTTTTACCTTATATCATAACAAGTTGGTTAGAGATAATTAGGCCTAGAGTCCACTCTATTGATGTGGTTTTTTCATTGTGGGAAGCCTTAAGATGTTTGCCTAGAGGTCCAATTGGAGCCGATATCATCGCATATCCTGAGTTATATGAGACCGATAACAAGATTTACAGAGGGCCGGTGCATCCAACCCTAAGAGAAGGCATTTCCACCAGTCTCACGACTCTAGTCTAAAAACTGCCACCTATTCTCCTTTCTCAGAGGTAATATACTGCAAGCTTAAATGTTTTTTCATAAGAAATATCTCAAAACTCCTATGATCTTTCTTGTTTTTTTAATACAAACCCGAAAGAACATTACAGTTTTATTTATTTTCTTCAAAAATGAAAACTTAATTACGGTGTTGAGTATCTGACATTTCTGATGTTTTTAGATTTTTAAATTTGTTTTAAAAATGTTATTGACACATTTAACAATTATATTGGTGAATTGACTTGTGATTTAGTAGATAAAGGATGATGTGGACATTCTGTGCACATAAGCAATATGTTTAAACGCAACAAGTTATATATCTTCACTTCTGAAAACTTCATCAAGATTATTTCATCGACAAAACACAAAACACTCTACAAGTCTATCAACGTCTTCGCAAAATATGTATTTTTTTTTTGTAAAATCTACATTTTTTTTTTTGCAAAATCGGCTAATACCTCGACAAAGTCTGCGTTTTTTAGTAGAGTCTGTCAATATTTCGGCAGAGTCTACTAATATTTTGATAGAGTCTGTGTATTTCTAGATATTGGCAGGCTCTGCCAATATCTCAGTAGAGTATACCAATGTTTCGGCAGAGTTTGTCAATACCTCGGCATAGTGTACCAATGTTTTGGCAGAGTCTACATTTTTTGTAAACGCTTTTCTAAGATGTTGGTAGACTTATATCTCAGTCTGCCAGTCTACCGATATCTCGACAAAATCTACCAATGTCTTGGTAGAATCTACCAATATTTCGGCAGAGTTTGTGAAGGATAATTTTGGTATTATGAAAAAAAATTTAGATTGAGAATAGGTTATTTCAACAATTAAAATCAATAAGATTATTCTAACTATTTAAAAAAAAAAGTAGGTTACTCCAGCTAATCTCGCTTGCGATTTTAATCATAGTTGATATCTAAGATTTTCAAATGTTTTGGATATCGTTATGAACTTTGGTTTACAATTTTCGGTTACTAAAAGATTGGGAGAGGACGTCAACTTTCATATTAGCACCACATATTATAGTGTTCAATCTTTTGTTCTCTACTTTATTTTATTCTCTGTTCGTATTTTCATAATTGATCAACAAATGCCTAATAATTTCATAGGCAATTAGAATTGATATTGGGGTCGATTTTTAAGGATTG